GGGCTTGCTTATTGGTTATGAAATATAGAAAATTAATAAATACAAATTGCGGAAAGTTTCGTTTGCATATTCTCAGTAAATTTTCACTCTATCAAACACCTTGGTAAATATTAATACTCGATTTTAAACTGACTGACGCCATGACTGTTATATGTTTTTTTATTTACAAAAGGACACTATCTGTCATTATTTGTTCCTGAAAAAAAAAACACTTCAACACATATCACTAATACAATTAAATGTAATCGATATTAGTTAAAAGCAACACCCACCTTTGATGAGAACACCTATCAATTTCTTCATTAACTAAACAAAAACGCACACGCAAAGTTTCCACACCAAAACAAAAAAAAAGAGCCATAAAATAAGTGTTAGAAATATGATAAGGAACTCGATAATAGATATTAATATTGAACTGTCTGCAAGCCGGTTGGTTGGATGGACAATTTGTTGTTGTAATCCTGAAAAAACATTTTTCAATATTGAAGAACAACAATTACCATAGAAATTGTGACAACTGTGAACATTGCGGTCTCACATAGAGAAGAGTCTTAGTAACAGCGGGTTTTGTTTTTTGTACACCGGTAGTAATTATACTTACTCTGAACACTGAATATCTGTAAATAGTCTTCTAAGACTTCGGAGAATGAAATGCGTTTTTTTAATGCAGTCTTAAAATTTAATAAATCTATGTGCAGATTACTGGTCTTTTTTATTGCCACTTGGTGTTAAATTATCACCAATTAACTATTAACACTGTTAATAGAGACCGAATTCAACTGTCTTTCCCATTCTCTGCAGTGATATATACATATCTCTCTTTTCATTATTATTCCCTGCTCTCTCTCTCTCTCTCTCTCTCTGCAATGCATTCAAATTATCGAGGGCTAACCGTTAATTTCTCACTTTGTTAGTTCTATCTGCTCTCTTCAATTCTCTTGGAAAACTAATCAAAACACAAAATATAGCAATTGTTTTTGTTCCTTTTCTTATCTATTTCTTTGAGGCTTGACAAATGTTCTTTATGTTTGTTTCTTTTTTTTGCTGTAATTATTGTCACAGTTGTTGTTGTCATGTAGATAAATATCACTCTCATAACAAATGCATGTGATGATATATCAGATAATTTGAACATATGATGCCATATCGTGTATGTTTTTTTCTGCTTTTTTACTGTTGTGTGTCCTATGTCAATTCGACTGCCCTGTGCGTTCTGCTGTTGCTGGTGGTCGAGGGTGTTCGTTCCATGACTAAGAGCTATGAAAACACAAAAGTGCTGCATCCACATTCTGTTTTATGTTTCCTTTTGTCGTCGTCGCCGTCGATTGTTTATTGTTGTAGATTCGTTCTTTTTTTTTTTGCACATTTGCAGTGAGTTGTGGTGTTGTTCAAAAGGTAGTGGTGGACCGGACCCTAGGCATAAGATGCAGAGACATAGCATTATAAACATTATACAGTAGAGGACAATATTGTACAACGTTATGTATTAAAATTTAAAAAATAAAGAAAAGCAAAAGAAAAAGATATTATAAACAAAAATTTAATTTAAATTAAAAAAAAAAAAAATAGAAAATAACAAATTAAAGATAATTAATAAAAAATAATAAAGATTAATAGGAGAGTTCCTGTTATCGCATTGATCATATTTTTGAATATAAGTAATTGTACCCAAATTTGCAGGACTTTCATACTATTGGCTTTTAAGTTGCCTTCAAAGAGAGTTCCGAAACATTGCCCACCACTGTTTATGTTGCATTTTTTCTTTTATTTTTTCCATTGGTGTTGTTGTTTTGTCACCAATATACTTTTTCAATATTTGTTAAGGTTGTGTCCTCAGACACCATCAACTGATTATAGGTACATATGTGCACTACTATTTGTTATTGTTGTTGTTGTCATTGGTATAGTTTCTTATTATTTGCTGCCGTTGAGTCATCACATTTGTTACTATTCTCAAAATGAAAAAAAAACACCAACAACAAAAATATTACACACATTTTCATGTCATTCTATTCAATTTTGTGGGGGTGTATTTATTTTCAACCTTTGCACCCAGTATTGTGTAAATTTATCCTTAACCCATAATGTGACAAGGTGGAATATTAAAATGAAAAAAAAATGATAATATTATGGAAGGAAAAATATTAGAAATTATTAGAAATAATATTCATAACAGAAAAGAAAACATTGAAAATAAACAATACACGAAAAATAGCAATTTGAGAAAAAAATAATTATCTGTACAAATTTGTAATTTTTTTCATCTGATCGAAATGTCAAAATGTCCTTAAGAGTCGTTCTCCTTCTATAAATTTGCTTATCTTTCCCAATAAGTACCAACATATCAAAATTATCACTTCATTATTACATTTAGCACCTAAATATCTGGTGGAGGTGTCAAAAATGTTTTTCTGTGTTTTAGAGACATATTTTTATTTATTTTTTTAATATCAATATTTATCCTAATTCGGCCACTAACAATGAAGTATTTTACCACCTTTGGCCTTGTACCCTAAAAGAGTAATAACGCCTATTAAAGGTTTAACTTTATTAAAGCGCTAATATATGTATGTACATATGTCATTGTGTATGTAAAATACTTTTAGGGTTGATTCTTGTTTTTTTTTTAAGTATTTTATCATGTCCTTCCTTTAACTTAAAAAAGTAAATTAACCGCACCCAATTTTGTTAGAAAGGAAGGAGTTTCTCCTTTTTTATAATAAATGTTTGTTTTTTTTCCAATTTTTTTAGTCTATATAAAAATACAGGTCAAAAGTAAATGAAAAGAAAAACACACCCTATTTGTTTATTTTTGGTAGAATTCTATTTAATCAGAATCCATGAAACATGCAAAGCTCAGGAGAATTAGAAATGAGACAATGTGTTGAAAAATAGTAAAGTCAATTTTTAAATGTAAAATTTATATTTTTGTAATGATAGACTCGGCTAAAAAGGCATTTACATTAGAACTTTTTGCAGGAGGATTCCATTTACATATAAGCAATTGGATTGACAATTAAAACCCACTGGCTTTACTACATCCAGGTTAATGTAAACTCATATTAACATATTAAAGTTTTAAAATCAATGTTTACATAAATTGAAAACATGTCTCTCATTCGCATATGTAAATAAACATTGTATTATACCCACATTTAATTAAAATTAAAACTTTCATTATTTCCTCACAACTTGACCCATATCTGGCCACCTTAATTAAGACAACAAATGTCAATTTGTTGTAGATCTTCTTCTTCTTTTTTCACACTTTGCACGAACATAAATTAACAATTCAACGGCAACGAAAAAAAAATAAAAAACAAAAAACAATAGACCCATTTTGTGGATACACATGAATGAGTAGTAAGTTACATACAGCCAAACATAGCTGTTTATGAGAATATGAATATGGTTGATGGGTATGTGGGGGAGCAAGGTGAGACAAGTAAGTTTGTGTGTTTGTTCTTTAACTATCTTCTCAAGTCAAGAACTCTTCTCATTCTGTCCCTCTCTTCAATTTACACAGAGAATAAAAATAAACCGGTTGAAGTGTTATGCTGATTTAAATAGCTTCTCAAATATTTATGTGCTCCCTCTTCCACTCTCTCACGTCTAGTGGTATCCCCTTTCAAAAAGGTCTGTGTTTACTAATTTGCAAGCCTTCCTTTCGGGACCCGCTCTCATGGCTAATTAGAAATGTGTTTTTGCAGAGTAATGTAATGCCGCACACACACAAACAATTGGTTTTCTTTTTATTATAAATCGATAACAGACAGGCAAAATGACAAACAGATTTAATCGAAAACTGTCAATATTTACCGCAATTTCCTTTTTGATAGATTCCTGAGTAATTAAGTTGACTTGACTACTGGGGGACATGACAGATTTAATCACAACTATATGTTGATACTTTTAGAAAAGTTATTTATGGGGGAATCAGAAAACATTATTTAATTAAAGAAAATAATCAATATATACAAGGAACTATTTAAGGTTGTGTAGATTAATTTTAAATTTAATATCTATATTAATAGGTTATGGGCTTCAAAGAAAATTAGCGATTTTTTTAGGTTATGTAGAATAACTTTAGTTTGATACATGTCTATGCAAAATACCTATATTAGAGCTTATGTTCTTCATTACATTCCTTGTTTTGTATCAAAAATCAATTTTTTGTATCAATAAAAGATGAATCACAAACATTTGTTTTCATTTCAAACAACAAAAAATGTGGCGCCCAACGTGTTATTCATTTCAATTTCCCATACATTTGCTGCTTGCAAATGACAACTTCTGTTACTCATTCTCTGGCAATTTTGAAATTAATAAAACTCATTTTTGATGACTGGCAATTTTGTTTTTGAAAGAATTGAGTAAAAAGGGGTAAAAATAAAATCGCAAGGGTAGGTTTTTGGTCACGGCTATTGTGTAAATAATAAAAAAAAGAAAAGGGCTAGGGCTATGTTTGAAAATTATGATTACTCTGGAGCACTTTTTTATACAAGTACCTCATTATTTTTTTGAAAATTGCAATTGGTTTGAGTTATTTCAATGAAGTCATAACATTGGATTAACCCTTTCGGGTCTCTTGGATGATTTTACTTAACGTTTTCTTTTAAAGATTTTTCTATTAAAGATTATAATTTTTTATAATAAACATATCATTCATATAATATTTCCCTTATAATTATCACTGTTTAAATTTTCTGTACAATTTCCAAAACCTACCATCCCACTTTCCATTTCAAGAAATCCATTTTTTTCAATTGGAATTTTCCCTAGTTAAAAAATTCTATTCCAATAAATATGTAATTGCATTAATATTCTTCCCTATAATGTTACACTAACATCCGTACGTTTTGTAAACTAAGAAATATTTTATTCTTTTTAATTCATTCTGACTGAATTTCCATCCATCCGATTATCCAAAGATTCTTTTTTCTTGTGTTTTTTGTTTAATTTTTTTTCTGATTTCCTTCTTTCTTGTGTTATCTTTTCAGATGGTTTACATTCCCCTACCAAAGATTTTAATAAATCATCATCGCCATCGACAGCAACAACAGCAAAGGTAAATAAACAACATGCAACAACTATACCGGCTGCAATTAAATCAACATCAACGACAGCAGCAGCAGCACTACCACCACCAACAACAACAGCAACAAAAATCACATCCCCACTAACCATAACATCTCCACACAAAGAATACCAGGCAGCAACAACAGCAAAATTGTTTGGAGGTCAATATACAGCAATAACCGAAGCTCCAACTTCAGCAAGAACAACAACAGCAGCAGCAACAGTTAATACCAAAGACGAGATCACCACCACAAAAGATCCAACAACAGTAGCAACAACAATGGAAGAAGAATATTTGGAAAAAACAAAAAAGGCCAAAGAAATAACAACAAAAGGTAGAACAGCAATCAGCCGAACTGCTCTAGGAGAGGAAGACGACAACGGCGAAGATATACACAACAGCATTACAACTTCTGGCATAAAACAACAACAACAATTGGCAACCCGTTTAACGGGTTCTTCTTCATCATCGTCATTGTTGTCGTCGTCGGCTTCGTCCACATCAACATCAACAATGATTGGTAGTGGTGCAACAACAACAGGCACCACATCGACTCAACTAAACAACAAGAGAGAACTGAGCAGTAGTTGTGCTGTGGAGAGAGAGACCCAACACAGCGGCCATCAACAACAAGCGGGTCTCATCAACATAACTGGAGCAAATAATGGTTCGGCAAATCAGTCGTCGAGTAAATGCGAGAGTGAACGTTTAGTATGTGCGGCGAACAACAGCGGTTCTTCATCGGTTTCATCGACAACAACAACAAAAACAAATACAGTAGTGAAAATATCACAAAAATTACAAGAAAATCAATTTATTAAAAACGAACAGCAAGTGGTAAACAAAACAAAAATAATAAAGACCATAAAAACAACAGCGGATTTGAAATCCCCCACCAAGACGACTACTCTGTCCACGTCTTCATCTTCAACATCGTTTGCCTCGTCGACCAACAACAGCAGCAGCGGCAGTAACTGTGCTGCAATCAAAAAGAAAATGGTGGCCATGCAAGAAATGAAGAAATCCACCCAGAACTCTGCCACACATTTGCATCATTCCACATGCGGCAGTGGCGGCAACGCCACCAACAATGGTGCCTCGGTCACCTCCAATGGTCGCAGTAATCGTATGGGAGTTGGTGGCGGTGTCATCAGTTCACAGAACTCCAACGATTTGGATTCCAACGAGGATTTAAGCTATGGCCCTGGTATTGTGTCGAAGCTGCGTTGTCGCTATCTGAGCCTGGCTCTGCGTGAGTCCATGGAGCAACAGCGTCTTAACAAAGATCTTCTGCGCCGTTCAACCAGTTTAAATAATCTACTGGATGATGATCGTGCCGAGGAAGAAGAAGAGGAGGAGGAAGAAGACGATGAAGAAAACATTGAAAATATCGATGTTGGTGGCGGCCAAGCCGGAGACCAATCGCAGAACACAATTTCAAGTTTTACGCAGAAAAAATCGGGTATTCTAAAGAATTCGTATTCCCCGCAGGAAAAACGTTTCTCTCAGGGTTCGAATGGGGTGGGAGTAACCTTTACCGAAACCTCATCGTTTAACAAACGTTCGCGTCACTTAAAACGCGGTAATGATTCGTTGAAACGCGCTCGTTCCGTCGAAGCTTTGCTCAGTGAAAAATCGCCATGGCAGGGCCAACGTATGGCCGCCAGTGTAACACCCACCTGTGTGACCATTGAGGATAAAATTCAAAATGCCCGTGAGCGTTTGCACCAGGGCACCGATCACATGCCGCCCAAGCGCTTGACCTCCATCATCGATGACACCGAAAGGCCACCACCGGATTTGGTCAAACAGACCCTCAAAATGTTTGAGGCCAATGCCAATCGTCGACCCCGCAACACCAATCGTTCCAATTCGAAGGGCGAGGTGGCCAGCAAAGTGGAAACATTTAAGAACATTATCAAAGATCAAAAGCCGGTGGTAAGTTATCCCAAGCCATTGAGTCCCACCAAGAAATTGGGCGGCGGTGGCACTCCCAATTTAGTGAAGCCAACATTGAAATCATCTTCAGATCTGCAACAGACACCTTTGGGCCGCAAAACAATGGCTGCAATCAATAATTCGCATGGCGGTGTTGGTTCGGAGCCAAAGGCAAATACCTTGTCAGAGCACACACCAGATATTATTCCCCGACAGAAATTGCATTCGGAAAGAGAACAACACAACAGCAAAGAGAAATACTCAATGGGCATAAATAAAGAGAAGTTTATGAACTCTCTGATGGAGACACCGCTCTCCACAACTGGAAGTGGGGCTGTGGTGGATTCGCCCCTTAAGAGCACTGCCAAAGACAGATTTCTTGCCTCCATGGTGGATTCGCCGGTTACAGCTCTTTCCAAAGAGCTGGAGAGAATGAAACTGAGCGATAGCAACTCACCGTCGCCAGTAACAGCTGGCGGAAAAAGCGATAACTTGAAAAACGATAACTTGTCGTCGGGTCGTAGTGTAGGAGACGGAAGTGAGGCTAGCGGTAGTGTAGGAGGTGTTGATATTGATGGCGGTGTTAGTAGTGGTGGTGGTGATCGTAGCGGCGCCGACGACAACAGAAAGGTTGATGACGCATTCCACAACAACGACGACTACGACGGCGACAATCAATGCAACAACAAAACAGCCAAGCCAGGAGAAGAAGAAGCAGCCGAAGTGAATACAAATGAATTCAGCAGCTCTCTTAAAAGCGAAAACGATAAGATTAAGCAACAACAGCAACAAATCAACAATGAAACAACAATACAATCGAACTCCACCGCCGCCGCCACCACAACCCAAGTCGTTCCCTCTCAGGCAACGAACGAAGCAACGGTTAAGAAGGCTCATAGTGCACACGGCAGTAGTGATTTAAGTGATGGTGAAGACGACGACGAATACGGTATTCCAACGACAAAACGTATAACGCGCGCCGCCTTGGATAATATAGCCAAAGCCGGAACCACACAACAATTTAAATTCTCAAGTAATACATCATCATCCCAGTCCAGCAGCAGTAGCAGCACCACAACATCTGTAGCTGGTAAACAGATCGGTGTAATAAGGCCACTACAAAGTAACACCTCCACCTCCTCCTCCTCCTCCAATACAGCCAATAACAGCAGTAACATGGAGGCACTGAAGCATTCCTCCACCACCACAACATCGTTGCTGACCTCAAGGGAAATTGAGAAAAATCGTATAAATGATTTAAAGAAATCGTCATCATCGTCAACGGTAGTAACATCATCATCATCGTCGTCATCTTCCACATTGGCCTCCTCAGCTAGTCTTGATGTGATTAAGTCCTCCAGTAATAGCACCACAGCATCTGGTGGTGGTTTCACAGAAGTTGATACAGTTATCAGTGCTACAAATAGCCCCCTGTGGGCAATGCGCAAACGACGTCAAAATCCTCCCGCACCACCAGCCGAACAGACATCGATGGTTTTCAATTTCTCCAATCGCAAGGAAGTACCCGATTATATAGAAAATGATGGAGTTATATTTAGACGTAAACGTGAATTACCAAAGGTAAGTTGAAAAAGAAAACAAAGCGGAACAACAACAACAAGAATAAAACAAATGCATGATATATTGGGGTTGTGATGCAATGAAATGACAGTTGAGGTAGTGTCTAGATGTCAGTCATAATAAAAACAATAAACAAAGAAAACTAATTAGAATCTCGTGTGCTCAAAAAAAAAAGAGGGAACATCTTGTTGTTGACTATGTTTTTAGTTATTAAAACGTAGTTTAATATTCGGCAATCATATTAGCTTTGATCAGTCGTGGATCTTTGAGAAATTGTTAAATTTTATTCTTTTCCTTTAGTCTGTGAATAATTTTAATAATTTGTGGAATTTTTAAAATTGGATGTTGTTCTTTTATGCTGAAGTAAAGAGAGTGAGAGAGGGAATTTGACAGTTGTGTTACTGAGAGTTTACGAACTCTATGCTAGTTACATCAGCTGATTTAAGAATCAGCTGTTTTGTTTCATGCCAAATGTAAACAAGTCTCAATGGGGAAAAATATATATTGTAACTCATGTGTTTATTTTAAAGTTTACTATTCGTTTACTCAAAAAGTGTAGTATTCTTTAAATTTGATGTTGCCATTTTATGCAAACATTCAGTTGTGTCACAGAGAGTTTGGGAACTCGTAAACAAGTTACATCAGCTGATTCAAAAATCAGCTGTTTTATTTATTTTATGGCAAATGTAAATTGCGTGGATGATCTCTTTCAACAGAAGTTATTGAGAATTTCTACTGGATAAGTAAACGGATATACCGAATATTAACTTTGCTTATAAGATCATATTTGCAATTTTTTACTATAAATAATTCGAAAGAGGTGAAACATTTGAAACAATCATAGAATAATTATCTAACATTTCAAATTTATTTGAAAAACATGCTTTTGATTAAAAACTATGAAATTGATTATCAATTATTATGAATTATATATTCCTTGGATGTATCACTCATACAAAATGAAAACTACGTAATATAACCTAGATATGATTATCTCGGCATATATCAAGTGTTAAAACTAATAAACAATTGAACTCTTTGATGTTTTTCAAAAATATATGGGTTACGAACAACTATTCTCTTTTGATTTCGAAGTATGAATAAAATAGAGAGAACTTCATATTAATATTAACCCCTTTTATTCCATTGTGTACAAAATATAGCTCTCTCTCTCCGTCCATATGTTGCTACTGTCCATTTCTAACAAAATTGATAATATTTATAAATTAGATTTTTTTTTTATCAAAATGTAATTTGGGTATAGTTTTTTTTTTTTTTTTTTTGATCAAAATATGCCTTTCATTTGGCCCCAATTTGTTTTTAATACTTTTTTGCTGTTCTTTAATAGAATCTGTTTTTTCGATAAACATTGCAGAGTCTCAGTGAGTTATTATTAAATTAAACTCTTTAAGCAGAGCATTGTGATAATGGACAATATTGTTTTTGTATTCACTACATGTTGTATATAAATATTCATATATTTATATAGAAATACAGAAGTATAGATAACAAAAAATATACATTAACCACCAGATACAGTAACAGCTGGCTACTGGGAATTATCATACTTTGTTTTTTTATTACACTTGCTACTAGGCTAGGACATTAGTTGTGTTCCAGTTTTTATATATTTAAATCGTTCTGAAGAGTATAAAGTTGGAAAACAATTTCAAAATTCTATAAATATTTAAAATTGTGACTTTTAACCTAGCCCATTGGGCCAATTTCCATTCCATTTTTTCGAAGTGTATTGTTATAAATAAGGCTAGGGTTCTACTCATTCATTTTATATATGTCCCACCATGTGTGAGTAATTGATAATCATAACAAAAAAAAAAGTAAATAAATAATAATAAAAAATAAAAATTATAATCATCCACAAACAGATAGACAATTACAATAAATTCTCATTCGCTTCTTTGTTTGATGTGCGAAAAACAAAATAGAATAACGAGAAGAGCAGTTTATTTTTAAAGGGGAAGGGTAGAACCCATTTAATTTTAGCAGAGCAGAGGAGATCGGAAGTATATTGATATAATAAAATGGTAGAATAAAAACTATCCATTTGTGTTCGTAAAAACCTTCTCTAAATAGCTTCCTTAAAAAAATTCTATTTTGGGTTCGACAGATATCTTCAAAAATACAAAGGACATTTAAAAATTGTGTAGTTGGCGCCCAACAGTTTTTCTTTTACTCACTGCGCACAATCCATAAAAAGTAACGATTTATCTTTGTCGCCTTTTTTTAAATTTTTTTCTATAAATGCAATTGAATAAATAATAATAATGAGAAGGAAACAATGACAATATGGTGACAACAACAACTTCAAAAAGATATCCGAACAAAGAACTCCCAACAAACAAAGGGTGGTCGATCGTTCGGTGGTGCTGGTCTCTCCACAAAAATGAAACAAACAGAAATCTTATAAAGCACTGGAACAAAAGCAAAAAGGCGATTACATATATAAATAACAAATTCAACAGAAAACAAAAATATGAAAACAAAAAATTAAAATCTTAATACGGAAGTAAATTTGTGACGCAATTATTTTATTTTGATAAATTAATTTCCAAAAAAAGAAAACATTTGACATATACAGATTCTTTGGAGAGGCGAAAATGTGTCATTACAAAAGGAGTTTAGGATAAAATTATAAAATATATGTGTCATAAAATAATATCAAAGGTTTCTTGGTGGCGGCACAGAGAGGGAATTTTTATGGTTTTTGTTTGGCCAAGAGTTTGTAAACATTTTAAAATTTTTCGGTTTCAATCAAGTTTTAGCATTTCGAACAATGGCTCATTTTGATATAGTTTAGCACCAAAATATTGTTAAATTTTTATTTCATTCATTAAATATTATTTTCGCTATGCAATTCTGACCATACCTGTGACTCATTTACTGTCATATTACGCTTTTGTTTTTGCGCGATTAAGTTTTATGGTTCACTGTCACAAAATATTTGGTTTCGTATTAATGAAACTCATAAATGGAATGTTTATTCTTAGTTGCACTGATAAAAAACCTATCGATACTCTATACGAAAAGGGGAATTATTTATACAAATTGATAAACGAATCTTGACCACAAAAAATAGGTTTTATTCACAGTTTTTTTCGCAGAACATGTGGCGGGGAATCACTTGTGAAAAATACAACCGAAGTTCTATATGAAGAACTATTCGATTACGATTTCCTCACAAAAAATCCATTTACCTAAATTTTTCTTCATAGCTTAATTTTTTTTCTCAGCAGCCACAATATAAAAATGGTCGACTGTATTTAATTTATTATCAGAAAACAAAAAGAAACAAAATTTGGCATTTAGAAATTTAATTATATGCCGTGGAATTTTATTTTGCCACTACTCTCCCTCTAACAAACTGGTGTGTTTTATAAAAAAAAATATTTATTTTAAAATTCATTAATTTAAATTAAGAATGGAATTTGCAAGAGGAATTTTTTTTTGAATAATACCAAGCAGAACTCTCTCTCTCTCTTTGTTTGAATAACTCTTTTGTTTGCTCTTGACTCTTGGATTTATGATCTCTCTTTAAAATTCTGAAGTTTAACCAGGGATTTGTGCAAAAATGTAATTCCCTCTCTTTCTCTTCATGTTATTTCCCCCCAAATAGTCAACAGGGGAATGCCACCAGAAGTAACACATGTAGCAGACAAAGATCAATCCAAACTCAAACTAAAATAATAACAAAAACAACAAATCACATAAACAAGAATCAAAAACGAAAGAAAAGATATAACAACTAAATAAAATAAGACAAAAAAGGAGAGAATGTATAAAAGTTATAAAAAAGAACATAAAGAATTTTTATGTACATATATTGTTGTTGTTGTATACAAAATACCCCATAACAACAACATCAACTAGTACAACATATGCTATGCAACTAAAACGAACCCGACCGACCGATCCACCGATCGACAAAAACCACAAACAACACTTGAAGCCACTCTGTGCCGCCTTTATGACTTCGTTTTTGTTTCACTTTAACCAACAGGTTTTTTATTTATGTTGTTGTTGTTGCTGTTGTATTTGAAGTCATCGTCTTTTTAAGTTCTTTCTTAGAAAAGAAGGCAAACCCCAAGCAGGCACAGGAAGGTAGTCCGAGAATTTTAACCAAACCTCACAGAACAAACACAAATCATATGAAGAAATGGGGAAAACATTTTTTTGTCTTTAATTTTTATTATTAACATCGCGGCAAATGACTCGCTGTGCGTTTATGAGGAATCATTGTTTGAAGCACAGTGGTGTGGAAGAACAAAAAAATATATATTTTTAATGAGAATAACTAATTAAAACTATTCTTTTTTTATATAGGATGGTTTTCTATTGACTCAATACGAGAGCAGTTCGGAAAGTTCTAAGCACAAAAAAGCGCGGTATAAATATAAAAAACGTTAAGTGTGTTGGAAACTTCCATCTCTGTTATGAACACATTTTAAATTTTGTTTCGATCTGGCAACTTCTTCATATAGAAACAGGTGTTCAAAAAAGACACATCCGCAATATTTTACAATGGAAAAATTAGAAATTCGTGCTTTCATTGTAAAAAAAGACTATTCGCAAGATTTTTTTATGCAATTCTGGACTAACCTTATAAAGTATGCTTTATCCTTTATTGGCAACATTGACAAGGGATCTGTAGGCTGAAAAGCCTCATTAAAACATATGGCCAAGCTTTTTTGGATAAGAGGTTTTTCAAAATGTATTGTTAAAGCGTGAAATAAATTTTTCAGTCTTTCATTCCTTGTCACAGTTTCTACAAGGCACATCAAAAGTCTAATGATGAATAATTCCTTACATTTTTTATTGACGCATTTTAAAAATGAAAAAAGAAAACTTGTTTTCAAAATTTTTCTTTTGAAATAGAAAAGAAAAAAATCTCTTTTTATTTTCATTTTGGCCAATAAAACTGGAAACAAGTTTTCCAACATTGTTGGTTATGTTCAGCATCTGATTGACTGTATGTCAGGTCT